GAGAAATACGTATTCGAAATTCGTATTATAATGACAAATTGCCGTTTTGCCATTTTTTAGAAAAAGTTCAAATTTTTTCGAGTTTTATAAAAGAGGAGACTAACCTACCACCTTAGATAATTTTTGATTGGTAAGAATCTTTTAGTTTTGTTCCTTTGTTGTAAGTAGAAGTTATTCCCATGCATCCAAACATCTAAATTAAATTTGGAATTTGATTGTGGTTCTGAAAGATGGCATCAACTATGACGTTATGAATGGTGTAGTTACTTATTAGTTGGATAAAGAGCAATAATTTTTTTTTTAAGGCTAAAGTTTAATTCTTGTAAGTCTTTCACTTGCTATGAAATTTCACAGCTATTGAGATTTTTTAGGAAGTTGAAACATAAGAATTGAAGCTTTGATATTTGTTTAGTTATGCAAGAAATATTGTTAAGAAGTTGATGGTTAATCTCGATTTTGACAGATAGCTTGGAGATAAATCTCTTTAAAAAATTCGGATTCGTGAAATGTTTTTTTGGTTAGAACATAGACTCATAGATCTTTCTAACCATATATGATACAAAATCTAATTCTATTTATGTGAAAAGTGGCATATGTTTGAAGTTGACTAAAAATTTGTGACTCAAAAACGAATTAGCTTAGTATCTTTACAAACAAATGAACATAACTCTTCATGTAGAACTCTGATTTTAACTTATGACCTATGATTGAAAATCTTAGGAAGACTACTATATAATTAATTTAATTTTTGCTAATTTAGTGAGGATAGAAGCCTAATTTAAATAAGTTCGCATGATGGGTTTGTATAACACTTTAGCACTTGTAAAGTGTTCAAACAAATGGTTAAGCTAAGGGAAGGATTGGAAATAGTAGCATACAATTGGATCGCCACCAATGTGACGCCCCAAAAACTGGGGGTCCTTTGTCAACCCGTTGATCAACCCGTGAAATACTCGTGAATACCGTCTAACTCGATATCACGCCGTTATGCCCCATTTACGGGGATCCCTAATTTTAACGAAATTCGGGCAGAGTCTCCTTTGTACGGGGAGCTCTACCCAAAACACAACCTATGAAATCATACAATATTGACCACACTGGGTCCATTAATGAGTAAACATTGACCACACCGGGTCCATTTATCCATACTCATATAACAACATTTAATCACATGATCCATCTGAGATCCAATATACATCAATTCATATTCCCACATCATGAATTTATGTATTAAACATAGTTAATACAAGTTCAAATTACAATTCTTTTACATACATTACATGCCCAAAAACTAACTTTACAAAAATGGATTAAAACCACAACTCGACTTTTCGTCATCTTTGAGGCCATAAGTGAGAGCCTTCCACCGGTGTGTACCCCGTATCTGAAATGTTGTCCCCATAAAGGGTGAGCCACACTCAATAAAGTAACTCCTAAAAAGTTACTCCCCAACCTAGATGCATATGAAATGTCACATGCAACATTCAACAAGTAACAACCATCCCAAACAAGAATATATAATTCAATGTTGGAATTCTATCATGTCATGCCATGAAATGAGATGAGACTCACTCATGCATTTTAACCTGAGCCCTCATTGGCTCCCACAACACAATCATTGATGCTGTACATCCGATGACATTTTTATATGAAACAAAATCATATGTCTTTGTTAGGTAACGGAGTTTTGGTGTCGCACCATCGATTCCGCACACCGATACATTTTTTTGGACTTGAACCGACAGAAGTGTATAAACAAGTAACCGGGTCTTGTACCCGAGGGAGTATCTAGCCCTTCTTGTTATACCCGACACAAGTTTTTCATGCAACCCATGCGACTCTATTGAAACCTTGGTCCAACTATACTAAGCCCACTCGTCAACCACTAAGGATGTTGTTTGATCTAACAACAAGCACACACACCCACATTCATGCCTCATGCCCATGAATGTGATGTCTTCATGCATATGTAATGTAATGAGCAATTGCAACATCAGTATCACATCCATATGTAATGGATGTCATATGAATCACATCCATATGTAATGAATGTCATATGAATTATTTATACCACATTTCAACACATGTCATGGATAATTACATCCTAAGCAAATAATTTTCATAATTCATCTCAATGCCAATATATCATAAGCACATATCAACATTACATTTCCAATTGTAATTCATATCATAAATATATGATTTCACTTTACTACATTATCCAAACATGTTATCATATAATCTCATGCAATTAAAACATTTTATTTCGCATAAGCATTTTATTAAACACTTTCAAGGCACCAAATCATGTAATCACATAAAATGCCCAAATTTATCACATAACTCAAAAAAAAAAAAATCAGAATAATTGATGTCCACATACCCAATTATCAAAACTTCCAAGACATCAAAAACTAGCAATTTCTAATTACCAATTTATACTAGATTTGAGTCTACAAATTTCTATTAAAACAACTACAATAGACAAGTATTAAAATACACAAAACAGCTCACCCATTTCATATATTCATCCTAGGTTGAAAATAAACCTAATTAAGATGAAAATCCTACCTCTTGAAGCATAAAATCAATGTAGAAAACCTCCAAGAACTTAATCCCAAGCTCAAACCCAAGTTTTCCCCAAAATCTCGTTTTTGAATCTTTGGTGAAATCCTTCATTTTTGGTATGGTTGCGTAGCCCTCGTCGAGGAGATCGATTTTAATACTTAGCCCAAAGAATTCTGACCGACAGAACTCCGTAGATCGTAAAGAGAAGGTAGAAATTTTCTATTTTTTCCTCTCTTCAACTCCAACACGAGAAACCAGCAGACCCATCAGAATGTTCTGTCCAAAAATCAGATTTTTAGTCCCTATTTATACATTTTAACGCTTGGCCCACGTTGCGCCACACACCCCCCTTTTTTCCCGGGTCCGTTTTCACCCCGAAACGATTAAATTTTGCTCTAGTTCAAGTTCAAATATTTTTATTTCACCTTAATTTAAATTATTTTTTAAATTTTAAAATTTTATTAAAAAATTTATTTTTGGGTCACCCGAGACTCGACCGCCTCGTAAAATACAAAAAATTTAACTATCTCAGAATTCGACGAAATTTGTCTGGGTAACTAGATTTCACAAGACGAATCCAACAGTAAGGTCTATTTTGTCATTTGAGCTTTAGAAAAATACGGGTTTCAACTCGCACTGTAGTGACAAATTATCGTTTTGCCCTTTTTCATAAAAGTTTTAATTTACCCGGGATTTATAGCCAATGTCCCGTTAACTGCCCCCCAGCATTCATTTTACTCGCATCGTAGGACAGGTGTCATGAGGGGGATGAAGGTTTCCTCAGCACTCCTCCCTTTCAAGGGCAGTTACAAGTGCATTTGCCACCTATTTTTGAATTTCAATTATTACCGCCGCCTTCTCGATTACCACCCCTTCATGGCTTAGTATAAATATGGCATGGGTTAGGCATAAGGAAACTATTCAGATGATTCGCTTTCTCAGACCCTCGATCTCTCGAGTAGTTCTTTATCAAGGCTAGCTTCTGCATTATTGTAAGTATCCTCATCCCTTCGTCTTCTTTATTTCCCCTCTTTCATCTCTTGTAGAGCAATGATGGCTAGACCTCCTAGAACCAGAATCCCTAGGGCAGTTAGGAGAGGCAAAAACTCAAGAAAACCAAAATGGATGAGTCCACTTTAAACGTTTTTGAGTCCACCTACAATATCCCTAACAGTCCATAGGGAAGATGTTAGGTCTGATGACCTCATACCTTTTCACACCAACCAAAATGCATGAGTCCACTTTAAACGTTTTTAAGTCAACCTACAATATCCCTAACATAGTCCATAGGGAAGATGTTAGGTCTGATGACCTTACGCCCTTTCACACTAAGGCAATTATGGAAGGCAGCATAAGGTTCCCTATTTCGCCCATTCTTCTTAGGTGTCTTAAGCATTTTTGTCTTTTCCCTAGCTAGTGCTGTATAAATCTATTTATAATGGTAATGGGTGTGGTCGCCCATATGTATTTGGTGACGCATATGCTCAACTTGGACAAGGGCTACACCTAGGACCTCCTAATGCTCAGTGGAAGATGGGATACTGGTGATGGACCCGAGTATGATGGCCTCTATTACCTCAAGGAAATGAGGGGACTAGGTGCATCAGTCTCCACCATGTCGCATTTGATTCTTCTAAGTTGAGACATTCTACTCATCCTCTTCTTTGTTTGTGTGCAGAGGGTTACAGGAAAGAGGTCGTGTAGTTGGTTAAAGCCTCGATTGCCTTTGACGATCTCGTGAAGGTGTGGACGTATCAACTAGAGAATCCCTTTGCTCGGGTTGCTCACGTACTCTTGGGATATTGACCTGGCTATACACGCTTCTCACATATCCTTGAGCCATTCAACCATTCCCTCTGGTCAGATCGCTCTTTAGGAGACGAGGAGACCTAGAAAAAGATCCTAATTGGGACTCCGAGGTTACCCTTTCTGCATCCAATCCGGAAGCCAAGATGTTTCATCTTCCTTTCATTACCACCGAGAGCCTGGAGGCCATCGCAGCGGCTAAAAGGGCCTCTATCTCTGGTCCAGGCGGGGTTTTGTGGATTGTCGCCTTGCCCACCCCATAACAGTAGCAACAACTTCAACAATAGCAACAACAACAATGATGCTGTCAAATCGCTACCCCTCCTAGACAAATCTCCCCACCGCCTCAAGTTGGGGCCCCTCACATGTAATCAAGAGGGCGGAAGGACGACCCTGCCAACTTGAGGGCAGATAAAACGACACTCGGTGGCTGAGAGGAAAAGAAGGTGGGGTCGGGTTTGCAGTGGGCTGAAGAGAGGGAGAAGGGCATCCGTCTAGAGGTTTTCAATCAATATCAGGACCAATTTCTCCCGACTTTTATAGATAGCCAATACAAATCCTTTAAGGCTGGATGGGATGATGCCCTCCAAACTATTGGGGTGGACCCTGACTTCGAGCTCTTCTTGATGCACCCTTACACTCCCCAGAAAGTCCTCGAGGATCCAGTAGACCCTAAACAAGAGACGGATCCACCCAGGCAGGAGGCAAGTGAGTAGGAGACATCCAAGAAAAAAGACGAGAGCAGGGGTGGCCGTCGATCCTATACCCATCAGTGACTCGGGGCACTCTTCAATATCTCCCCTAAGCCTTCCTTTTCTAGCCATCCTGGCTCTCCTCGTGAATCCTCAGGGTCCTTGAACTCCTGCAGTCCATCCTGGTCTTCGCGACTTTAACGAGATAGACAAGATGTTTGCTAAACTTGGGAATGATGACTTTCTCAAGAGGCGACGTGCCCAAGGTCATGGGGACGACTGTCTAGAAGGCGGAGGAAAGAACTGAAGCTTGTGGCCTTAAGGAGATTTTAGCCTTATTTTGTACATTTTCCTTGGGGGACACAAAGCCCCCATTTTGTTAGTGAAGCTTTATTGTCATTTGACTTGTTTCATTAGGATTAGGTTTATGAGCTCCACAACCATCGTTGATGAAAATATTTCCTTAAATTTGAAACATTCCATGGTCGGATTACATTGTTTCCCTCTATATCCTCAAGCTTATAAGACCCTGTGCCCCCCCCCCCACGCCCACGATAACCACCTTATATAGGCCTTCCCAATTGGGTCCAAGTTTACCATCTGTTGGTTTCCAAGTGCCCCCCACTACTTTTCGGAGCACCAGATCGCCTACTTGGAAACACCTTGCTCGAACCCTCTTCTTATGCAATCAGGATAGCTCCCCTTGGTATTTAGCCAGTCTTATGGCTGTTGCCTCCCACTTTTCCTCCACTAGGTCGAGGACTCAGACTAAGGTTTGATCATTCATCCCTGAGTTGAATGCTTGACTTCGTATAGTTAGGAGCCCGACCTCTAAAGGTATGACTACTTCTATCCCGTATGCTATGACATACGGTGTTTTCCATGTCAAAGTCCTCGAGGTAGTTGATTATCACAAAACATTGCATATATTGTACGATGTTATGCCCTTTTATACTTGGTTTTTTTGTGAAATTGGTGAGAAATGCGTTTAATCTTGTCGTTAATGGAGTTTTGTGTAAATGTAGGTAAAAAGATGAAAATGTCTTGAGTTAAGTCCCCATTGAAGTGTTTGAAATCAAGCCATTTACATCTTTTCACCTAGATCTCGGACTAAGGTCTGATAATTCATCCCTAAGTCGAATGCTTGACTTTCGTATAGTCGGGAGCCCCACCTCTAAAGGTATGACTACTTCCATTCGGTATGCCATGGTGTTCGGTGTCTTTCCTGTCAAAGTCCTCGAGGTAGTTGATTATCACAAAACATTGCATATATTGTATGATGTTATGCCCTTTTATACTTGGTTTTGTTGTGAAATTGGTAAGAAATGCGTTTAATCTTGTTGTTAATGGAGTTTTGTGTAAATGTAGGTGAAAAGATGTAAATGGATTGAGTTAAATTCCCATTGAAGTGTTTGAAATCAATGAAGAATAGGGGATGACTTAAAGGAAGGTTTGGAAGGTGAAGAAACCAAGAAAATGCAAATTGGATGAAAACTTTCTGGAAGGTTTTGCCTACTAGTTTGCTGATTTAACTGTTCCTGCACAAACCTTCCAGAAGGTTTGTGTTGACCTTCCGGAAGGTTTTGCCCAGAATGCCCAGACAGCCTGCATCTCAAGTTCTGCCATTTGGGGGCCCTACCTACACTTCTCCCACTTGTCCCCTGACATCTCTTACACTCATACAAGCCTTTCATCACTTCATTCTATACTTTGGAGGCTCAAGCATTAAAGAGGAGAAGAGAGAAGAGGCAAAGAAGGAGAGTAACAGACTAGGTTTGTCCAAGCCTGCCCAAGCCATCAAGTTAGCCCCCTTTTGATTGAAAGTTGGTCACACACCTAAGGAGCTCTCCATGGACGAAAATGCATCAATTCATTGGGTATTATTCAGCTGGTATTGCATTGTAGAGAGAGAAGCTCCAAGGTAGAAGACATAGTTTAGAGAGAGAAAACTTAGATTTTTACATTCTCTTTATCCATTTCACTTGTAATCCTTTGTAAGACTTGTGTAAGCTCCATTTAATGTATTTAATGTAATTTATTTCAAGTACATTGCAAGTTTAGTTCTACATTTTGGATTTCACCATTGTTGCAGGAAGTTTATTTCATTTCAAGTTTTAAAATGGGTATTGAATGTTTTTATTCCTAGTTTAAGTTTTCTTGCATCAATTCAAATCCAAGCTTCATTTCTTCACAATGTACCTTCATTACATTTATGTTCTTGCTTTAAATATGAGTAACAAAGCTTTAAGTTGGTTAATTCAAGGGAGAACTCCTCTTGGGTATGCTATTTTAACTCATTTTTTTTCCTCCTTGTAGTGTACGTTGATTCGGGTTGACTGGGTTGATGGTGGACGTGGTTGTGAGTCCTTAATATCCCGTAGACTTGTCATGGGGTATACTTGGATCCTCACCTCCATTCTAGTCCCTCGCTTCTTATGAATTAGTCGAACATCTAGACACCATTGGAGGAAGGTCTTGAGTAGAGTTGGCATTCCCTTTGAAGTGACCTCTTTGGATTAGCCAGCACTTGTTTCATTTCAATTTCATCAAGACACAATCACAAACCAAATTCAAACATCAAAAGAATTTTACACTTTTTCCTTTTTACCAAAATAACCTTCAACATAATTCGCTTCGTTTCCTAAGGAGACGACCTTGGAATACAAATTCCAAGTAAAACACGACTCTCAAAAGTTTTTCTATGCTTGGAGAGCAATTTTGTTCACACACACACACACACATTTCATTCCACCACTATTCTATTTCCCTCTTTTCTTGCATCATTCCGAGGAAGAGTGACACTTCCCTATCCGTATAAGCCATACACATACCACGGGATGATGTTTGGAGATTAGGGCATACGATGGAAACCATCAAGCAGTAGTCTTGTGTGCCCACAATACGTTGAGTAGCTCCTCTGTCCATCTCCCCTTGGCCTTTTCCAAACTCCTTTTGATCCCTGCCAACACGGTTCTATTGGAGACTTCAGCCTATCTATTGCATTGTGGGTATGCCGGAGTCGAGTAATAGTTATGGATCCCAAAACCTGATCAAATTCTCTAAATGAGCCACTGTTAAACTAGGTGTTGTTGTCTGATACTAGAGCCCGCGGTATCCTAAATTTAGTGATAATGTTCAGTCAGACGAAGTTTTTGGTATTGAATTCCCTTATGCGACTTAAGGGCTCAGCTTTGATCCACTTGGTAAAGTAATTTATAGCCACCAAGAGAAATTTCTTGTTCAATGTTGCTCTTGGCAATGGCCTTACTATGTCCATTTTCCACTGGGAAAAATGCCAGGGACTCGTCAACGAGTTGAGTTCACCTACCGACTGGTGAATGATAGGTGTGAACGTTATGCATTTATCACATTTTTGTACATATCTCTTTGCATTCTTCTGCATATATGACCACCAGTACCCTTGAGACATGGCTCAATGTGCAAGGGACCTCCCGTCGGTGTGGCTGCTGCACACCCCTTTGTGTATCTTATAAAGCAGCTGTTGGGATTTGTTCTCGGGGACACGCAACAGGTATGGTCCCGAGAAAGTTTTCATGTATAACTTTTCATTGGGGGAGACCTAGAACCTCGGGACTTTGAGCTTCATCTTCCTGGTTTCTTTGGCATCTTTGGGAGCACTCTAGTTAGTAGATATCTGAGGATGGGATTATCCAACTCGGGGGGTGTCCCAGATGTTGACTAGAAAAACCTCCTCGGCGTTTACCTTGGAGTTTGTTATGCTGGAACTCCCTATGTAATCTATCGTTATCCTCTGGGTGACTTCTGATACCAATGCTGAGGTTAGGCATGCCAATGAGTCGGTGCGGCTGTTATGATCTCTAAAAATCTAAGATACCTTGATCTCCTCAAATTTCACCATTCTTGTTTGCACCTACTAGTAATACGCCTTTATCCTACCATCCCGTGCTTCAAAGTCTCCATTCACTTGATTAAAAATCAGCTGAGAGTCATAAACACGTCTAGGCATGTGGCCTTGATAGACAACGCCACTTCAAGTCCTGAAATCAATGCCTCATAATTGGCTTATGCATGATTTGTGCTTTAACCCACCCCATCATCTCTGATGGGTATAAAACCTGTATTTAAAGTTGTAATCTGTAAAAAAAGTGCCTTCTTGGTGTGATTAAGCAAATATGTTGGAGTAGAACAAGGAATTCATCTGAATAAAGGATGAAATCTTGCTAATGCTTGGGTTTTTCACAATTGTCTGTGTGCTTATATTAATTAATATGACCGTATATAATCAAGAGTTTTTCATTCAACTTTCCATAGCATGTTGGTTTGGTTAAAGGAGGCAAATTGTTCAGATGTAATTCTGTACGAAATAGATTTGAGAAGTTGTTAAAATTGGTAAAAAGATTAGTGTTTTAGGTATGTTGGATGTTTCATCCTCTAAATTCTGGGTTATTACTTTGGAAATACTGGTCTTGCTAGAATGGGATTTTCTTTGAGAAAAAATGGATGCGGTTTTACTTGATGAATTATTTTCATTGCTATCATTGGGCACATAATAGGTGTGAAACTCTATATTTCCAAAATGCACTTACCATTAATACCATTATGTAAAGCTGTAAGTGATGTACATCACATGTATATCTGTTTCATTTATGTCTTTCATGTTCTTTTTACATTTTGCTATCCCAATTGGGCTATCAAGAGAGTAATAAACCATAGCGCTTGTGTGGGAAAGAGCCTGATAGAGATTCTCTAGCCATTGTGAGCTTGAAATTTCATTGTGAGCTCATACCAATGGAAACAAGACCATCGAATTTTGTGAGCTAGATTTTCATAGTCTTTTCCTCTATTTTTATTTGGTTGCTTCCTTGAGCTACTTGATTGGCACTTGAATGTCTGTACTTGGCTCATCTTATAGGAATTACTCATGGATCCATTCCGACATGGTGCATACTTCACAAATCTCATGCATGATGGAACAAATTTAGATGATGAGGTTATAAGTCAATCTTCACCAATATCTCCTCAAGTAGAATCCACCACCAAAAAACAACGATGTGGCAATTTTACAGTAGAGGAAGACATTATGATAATCTCGACGTAGCTTAATATTAGTTTGGATGTTGTGCAATGAAATGAGCAAAAATCAAAAACATATTGGCAAAAGATTTGCAAGTTCTTCCACAAATACAAACCTAAGTCATGCCCTAGTCGTAATCAAAATTTTTTGATGAATCGTTGGTCGGCAATTCAGCTAGCCACCAACAAATTTTTTGGGTGTTTTGTATAGATAGAAGGACTGAATCAAAATGGTTTGACAGAGAAAGACAA